CCCTTTGTTCATTGGGATTGGAGTCGTGATCAGGGCTTCTATCGCGCCTTCGCTGCGTCTTATATTCCCTGCAGCGAAAAATAAATTCCTGGAGCTTTCCTTCTCTTATGACTCAATGGTATTTCTAAGCGCGAGCATTCGTCGGTGGTGTGACCTTTGTTGTTGTGGAATTCGCAAAATTTGGATTCATCGCACTGAACACCTTTTTACATTGGAGGAGGTCTGTTAACCCGGACATACCCTGTTTGGAATACTTCCTTAAAAATCCACTTGGGAGATGTATTCAAGGGGGTGTAGTTGTCGTATTTTCTCCACTTTCTCTTTTCGCCAAATTTGCGTTGAAAATTCTTCTGGACATCTCTTTCGAAGTTCTCTGTGTTGGCCTTGGTGTTGGAGATTTCTCGTGATCGCTTATAATCTTCTAGGTTGATAAATTTTTCTGAACGCGCACGCAGTTCCTCTATGGTGCGAGGGCGCTGTTTGGCCAGCGACATAGAAAAAGGGCCTTCCACAAGTCCTTTAGTGATGATGTGTAGTGAGACTTGTGGATCTAAATCTCTGACCAAAAGCGCTTCATCAAAGAATCTGTTTAGATAATCGCGCAGAGTTTCATTTAATTTTTGTCGAACCGTTTTTAGCGCGTGAGTGGATTTGTATTGTGCTTTGCTCGTTGCGAACCGCACGAGAAACTGGTTGGTTAAGTCTTCCCAACTTTGTACCGAATTAGGTGGTAACGCTGAGTACCATCTAAAGGCTGTCTCCTTGAGAGTTGTAGGAAACAGTCGGCATGCTATTGGATCATCAACATCTCGTGCCATCATGTTTGTCTGAAATTGCTCCAGATGCTCTTGAGGGTCCCCTTTTACGTTATATTTTTCTGTTGTTATCTTGACATCTCGAGGAATCGGGATGTTCATTATGCAGGGGACGAATGGGTGAACAATTCGAGAAATGGTCCTTGAATTACCATGAGAATTCTCGTTCTCATGAGTATCTTTGATTTCTTCGCCTTTTTTATTTTTGTGACCCGAAGGTCCTGGATTTCCAGTAGAGTGCGAATGAGGTGACTCACTCTCCTCAGAATTTTCGGGAGCTGTTTCTTTCTCAAGATTTTTTTCTTTTTCTTTTCCCTTTTCTTGGGTTTTTTCTTTGCTCTTTTGAGCTTTTTTCAATCGAGCCAAATCTCGATTCTGCTGGGCGATTTTCTTGTTCTGAAGTGTGATGAGGTCCAACAGATGTTGGGGTGTCGGTGGGTCATCCAGGTGGATGGGAATTGGTGCCACTGATGAAGCTGATTTTTCACGGGAAGCAGGGGTCTCCTTCCGCTTTCCTTTGGAGCCATTCTGGGATTTGCTGCGAGTGTCAACCATGTTTTTAGAGAAAAGTGGATAAAAGTCCCCACAGAAGGCGCCAATGATCAGACCAAATACGGTATCGATAGCCCAATACATATTAAGCCCAAATCACAAACGGTTGAGACTCCTTCGATTGTTATTGGCCTGGGCTTGGTATTGCAGTTGGGGTGAGCCTGAGCTCTTTGTCCTTCGTCCTTCACGTTGCACCAAATAAGGGGGTACCTGCGAAGACACTCTGATGCTTAAGTCAGTATCAGAGGCAGGTGTTTATGTTGTGAAAGTAAAGGATGATCGTACCTTGGTGGTACATCGTGTGTTTATATAGTAGTTGAGATGTGTGCTTGGAGGATGCCTTTCTTCTTGGTGAATGCAAAGGTTCCTTGGTTCCAACGTAGTGTGGCTGTCATGGTTTAAATGTTGAGGAGCTTGCCGCCATGGTGTCTAGTAGTAGAGTTATGGCGAGCTGGAGCTATCCGTTGCTTACTGGTGTGAGGGCGCGGTGGTGTTGCCTTGGCCCTTAAGTTTACTGTCTGTAGAAGGTATCCTGTTGCGAGGTGAGTAACTACGGCTTGCGTGCCGCGATGAGGTCATTGCGCCTTGTATGATGCGATGGGGTCATCGCGCTGGTGTGTCGCGATATGGTTATCGCGTCTGTGCCTGTCCTTTATGCCTCGTTCTGGGTCCTTAATGGGTTTGGGCTTCCATATGTTATTGGGCCCTGGTTGGGCCTATATTATGTCCGGATCAATAACCGTACAAAGATGGCTCAATGGTGATAAAGGAAGAGAGAGAAAAGGGGAATCATAACCATTCAAAGGTGAATCAATACATATAAGGAAATAAATAATCAAAATGACGTAGTTTTGAGGTGGCCGGAGATAAATTTATCTCAATTAGCTTGAGAAATATTTGTTCCTATATATATATATATATATGGGAATATCGTTTCTCAAGCTGCCGGAGATAATTTTATCTCCGGCTAATAAATCATAATCGTACAAAGATGGATCAATGGTAATGAAGGAAGAGAGAGAAAAGGGAATCATAATCATTCAAATGTAAATCAATTAATATAAGAAAATAAATAAACAAAACGACGTAGTTTTAGGGTGACCGGAGATAAATTTATTTCAAGTTGCCAGAGAAATATTTTTCCCCATATATATATATATAGGGGAAAGATATTGTAACAATCAAGTTGTGTTACTACTAAGTGACTACCAATCAATCTCACTGTTAGATCGATTATGTTAATCCAACGGTTATATTTATTTTCATATTTGTATGGTCATATTTTTCAAATTTAATACTTTATATTTATTTCCACCTTTGTATGGTTATGATTTCTCATATTTAATACTTTCACTTTAAATATGAAAAATCATAACCTATGAAGCACTGACACTTCAAAAATCCTGATGTGTCGTGTCTGACACTTCCCGACACTCTCATACACTCCCCAACACTTCAACACGCGTTATAGAAATTCAAGCAAATGATTAAAGGTTGTGTTGCGTTGAGTTTTTAGTTTCAACTATTAGATTCATTGGATTACGATTATTACTTTATTGAGTTTAATATAAATATTTGGGATATCTTATGTTTTTTTGCAAAATTTATGAATATTATAAGTTTAGATTATTTTTTTGTTAAATTATTGAATATTAAATATAATATACACTACATAAATTAAAAATATTATTTAATATCAAAACGTGTCCTAACGTGTCGAAATCTAACATTTTTAGTAATTAACGTGTCGGAGTGTCACGTGTCCCGTGTCGGTATCGGTGCTACATAGATCATAACCATACAAAGATGAAAATATTATAACCGTTGGATCAACATAATTGATCTAACGGTGAGATTGATTGGTAGTAACACAACTTGGTTGTTACAATATCCTTCCTATATATTGATCAATGATGATAAAGTTATCATTTCTCAAGCTGCCGGAGATAAAGTTATCTTCGGCTACTAAATCATAACCATACAAATATTGATCAATGGTGATAAAGGAAGAGAGAGAAAAGAGAAATCATAACCATTCAAAGGTGAATCAATATATATAAGGAAATAAATAATCAAAACGACGTAGTTTTGGAGTGGCCGAAGATAAATTTATCTCAAGCAGCTTAAGAAATGTTTTTCCCTATATATATATATAGGGTTTATCGTTTCTCAAGCTACTTGAGATAATTTTATCTTCAGCTAATAAATCATAACCGTATAGAGATGGATCAATGGTGATAAAGGAAGAGAGAGAAAAAGGGAATCATAACCATTCAAAGGTGAATCAATTAATATAAGGAAATAAATAAACAAAGTGACGTTGTTTTGGGTGACCAGAGATAAACTTATCTCAAGTTGGCAGAGAAATATTTTTCTCATCTATATATATATATATATGGGATTTGCATTCATCATGCAACATGACAACAAAAAATTTTCTACACACACCATATTTTGTGGGACCCGCATTTTTTGAAGAAAGAAAAAAACTACGGCACGAAAAACGAATCTCTATAACATAACATAATCACTTTTCCTACAACATAACTTTTATAAAACCCTATATATTTATGGCAAAATAATTTGTGATGTGACTGCATATAAGCATTGATGCGGTCACCTAAAAACTACGTCGTTTTGGGTGAGAAAAAGAAAGTTCGCGTTCAAAATTAATTATAGAAAAAAGAAATATTATATTTATTTCCATCTTTGTATGGTTATGATTCCCAATATTTAATGTTTTATATTTATTTCTACTTTTGTATGCTTATGATATCCCAAATTTAATGTTTTCATACTATAAAACGATGTAGTTTTGTATGACTGCACCAATATTGTTAAAATCGAGATCTTATGTAAAATCGGGAGGGGTTTAAAAAATCGTAAAACGTAAAATCGTAATGTAAAAAAATCGTAAAAAATCATAAAAACATAAAAGCGTTTAGAATATTAGTAAAATCATTTTGGTGAAAATAAATCGTAAAAACATAAAATCGTAGTGATAAATCGAGATTTTAACAACAATGGACTGCACCAATCCTTAGATGCAGTCATTGTACATCCGCTAAACCTTTTATATATATATATATTTCAGTTTGATGACTATGAAAGATTCTTTAAAGTGATAATAAAAATATGGAATCTATAATGTAATAATAAATAACAAAGAAAATTTATTGTAATTAAAAAAATCTTAGGAGAGACGCCTATATGAATCTTACAGAGCTCGAAAAAAACGTTTTAGGAAAGGGAGTGCGGGTTGTTCCACAAGTCTTTATAAGGTGAAAAAGCTGAAAGATACTCTATTTCCTCCCCTTCATTGATTTGCCAGATTGTGAAACTCAAAACATTGTTATTCTTCTAGATTGTAATTCTTTGTATGTTAAACATCCACAAAAAGGAAATAGGTAAAGAATTGAAAGAATACATAAGAAGTTATATCAGTTGTGATCATCATTGAGAGATACATAAGAATTAAACAATATCAGTTGATCGGATAGAAAAAAACGCAAATCAATTTACATTAAAGAATTGAAAGAATACATGTTCAAAACAAAAGATCAGGACTAATCAAAGTACTTGCAAATTACCAAAAATAGAAGTTATATGACAACAAAAAATCAGACCAAGGAATCAAACTTTGGGAGCCATGTTTCCAAACAACAACTTCAAGTCATTCTGCAAAGGTGTTAAGTTCAAGTCCAAGCACATAACCCTTGTACTATTCGACCTTTTCAGAACTGGGACTTTTACAACAACATGGTTTATAGAAGAAAATCCTTCGTTGAATGCAATTCTGTGTCTTCTCATGTGTCCTCCAAGTGCCTGACCCATAGAGAATTCCTCACCACAAATGGAGCACACGTGCACTTTGTGTTTATTCCCAAAGCTCAGAGTTTTTGTCTGTGCTTTGAGTTCTTTCGTTTCGAGTTTCGGTTTCTTGTGACTAGACCTGTGGCCACCGAGGGCTTGAAACGACGAGAACTTGCGGTTGCATGTGTTGCACTCAAATTCCACTGGGCCAAAACGTTTCTGCGTTTTGTTTTCTCGGGGATGAGAGAGCGACATTAGACAATTAGCCAAGTCTATGGTCTCTATTCCTTCTTCATCTCTCTGTCTCTTCATTGCTATGGTCAAAGAATTAATGTGAATATGCAACGTGATTGAGGCAGTGAAATGCGCAAAAGAAGATATTGAGATTGAAATGTGATGGTATTGGTGAGTAACATAAGGACACAGAGATTGGTATTTATAGGCTGTTTGGGACAAAGTCAAGGACTTTGACTGATTTAAATAAACCAATACTTGGAGGCTATTTTTGTTTAATAATCAGATTAATGAATGTTTCAAATCTTTATAAACTTGGAAAATAAGAGTTTTATTATTTTATATGCCCTTGCTACTTACGAATTCGTTAGTTATATATATATGTACGTTGGATTATCCCTTTTTGGTGTCACATCGGAAAGTTTTGCCCTCGTGGGGTTTACGCTCACTTGTTTAAGAAGTGTAACCGCGTGAGAAGCAATGATGTTTTGGCGTGCTACACTATGAACGAGTCGTGTGCGGCGAGCTACAACCGAAGAAGCAAGTGGTTCTTCTTTGAAATTAAATTGGTGTAATGCCTTGGAATTGGATAAGAATTTTTCATGTAGTATGCGCGCATTTATGTCATCTAATCCTTTTTTTTTGTAAGGATTATTGTTTTAGTTAAGCATAAGTAATAACAAAGGCTTATTTTATTTTATTTTAAGGGGTTGTAGTTTGTTCTTTAATATGACACAAATTTTTTTTTTATATATACAACATTTTGTGGGTCCGCACTTTTTAAAGCAAAAAAAAAATTAAAGCACGCAAAACGAATTTCTATAATATTATACAATCATTTTTTTTATCACATAACTCTTATAAAATCATTTTTTTAAATATAATTACGATGTAAGAAGTTGAGAGTGCATGGTTAAAAAATTTATAACTAAATTAAGAAATATTTACATTTTTTTCTCTATTTAAGTTTAAATTTAATGGTATTTAAGTGCCTTTTATACTTGTTGACGTGAGTAATATGTGCTATGATAAATACTAGACATGATATCTAAGAACTATTTGGTCACTCTTAGAGCTTCAATATGGACTGCGTTGACATATACAAATTTGGTGTTCGATATATATATATATATATATATATATATATAGTTTTATAATTCTCATTTAATATGAGAATTCAAATTTTCCTACACACCCTTCGATTTCTGTGCTGACATGGGTCCTACATATAATTTTTTCTAACACCTGGGTCCCACATGCTTTTTATCTCTACAACATGAGAATTGAATTCTCATTTAACATGAGAAAATCAAACCCCATATATATATATATATATATATATATATATATATATATATATATATATATATATATATATATATATAAAAGGATTAGTGTTTCTCATCATATAAGAAATAAAATTATATTTTATATACATATAAAAATCAGAAAAGTATTTGTCATTTTGAATGAGATAAAGTTATGTCATTTTAAGAGAGATACAGACACAGAAAATTTGAATTTTAAATTAAAAAAAATCACTCACTTTCTCTCTCCCATGATTTTCGTTATTCTGTGTCTATCTCTCTCCTAAAATGACATAACTTATGTCATTTAAAATAACAAATAACAAACCCATAAAAATATGTGAAACTTATATTTTCTTTTTCTTTTTATTTTCTTCATTTGGGGATACTTTTAGCAGTTTGATTTTTCAACAAAAAAAGCCTTGTGATACACATGCATCAACATACGCATTTTACCACAGGCGCATTTGAACCGGACCAGCTACGGCTTGGAGAATGTCAAGCAATGTTATTAAATATATATATATATATATATATATATATATATATATATATATGGTAAACATTTCTACAGCCACTTTAAATAAGCTTATTTATAACTACCCAAAAATTATGTAATTTTGATTAATGAAGGGTGTTTCTGTAATTTTAGGTGAATTAATGAAAAGTGTTTCTGTATTTTTTTTTTTTATCATATACATTTTACTGATATACATTTTATTTGTTTATATATATATATATATATATAGAAATATTTTTCACATATATATATATATTTGGGAAAAATATTTGTCATTTTAAATGACAGAAAGTTATGTCATTTTAAGAGAGATACAGACACAGAAAATTTGAATTTTAAATTAAAAAAACCATCTACTTTCTCTCCCATGATTTCCGTTTTTCTGTGTTTATCTCTCTCCTAAAATGACATAACTTATGTCATTTAAAATGACAAACACTAAATCCTATATATATATATGGGAAATAATACTCTCATGTCACATGAGATACTCTTATTTTCCTACACAAATTCATTTTCCGTGCAAATAATTTTTCTTTTCTTTTTTAATATAAAATATGGTACCCACATTTAACTTCTCTCTACTTTTTTTCTCTCCTACAATTCTACAACATAAGAAAAACTAAACCTATATATATATATATATATATATATATATATATATATATATATATATAAAAGTGTGTGTGTAAATTTTTAAATACATATAGATTAATGGTTAAGATTGGACATAAGGCGTAGTACCCGCAACAAATAAAAAAAAAAAATGAAAGGCAGGGGAACATGGATCAGACAAGGAGGTCATGGTGGGTGGGTCAAATAAAAGTATTCAAAGTAGTTCTCACTTCTCAGCCTTCCTGTTTCTCCCATCTTCCCTACTTTGCCGCCGCCAACACGATCCACCGCCAGCTCATGCTACGTCGTTCTCATTTTTATGTTCATCATTGTCTTAATAATTGGTATTAATGGATATTGATATAATTTTTAAGAGTTTGTTTTTTTTAAAGTTACTTAAAATAATTTTATCTAATGTTTATCGAAACGACATCGTTTTAAGACGGAAATTATGGTATTTTTGTAATTTTAATTTATTTTAGGGTTATAATAGTCTTTATCATTATAATTTTTTATTTTTTCAACCCCAAAACGACGTCGTTTCGATGAACATTAGACAAAGTTGTCTAAAGTAACATAAGAAAAAAAATTTCCCAATTTTTATTCCTAACATTTTCCAATGCGTATTAACTTACTAGACTTTTGTATGTAATTTATGCGTCCCATAAAGATTTAAGTAACTTTCTAGACTTTTTGGGTATTTGATTAAGGGGAAGGACATTGTGACAATCAAGTTGTGTTACTATCAAGTGACTACCAATCAATTTTACCGTTAGATCAATTATGTTGATCCAACGGTTATATTTATTTTCATCTTTGTATGGTCATAATTCTCCATATTTAAAGTGAAAGCATTAAATATGAGAAATCATAACCATACAAAGATGAAAATAAATATAAAGTATTAAATTTGGGGAATCATGACCATACAAAGATGTAAATAAATATAACCGTTGGATCAATATAATCGATTTAACGGTAAGATTGATTGGTAGTCACACTTGGTAGTAACACAACTTGGTTGTCACAATATCCTTCTTGATTAAGATATGCCAAATACGTTATTGTGAGGCTATAATTTATTTTGATAATTATCTTTTGTAAGATTTAATTCCTCCTCCCTTATGATGGCTCGCTTAACCGACTTATTTTTTTCATTTTAATGTTATTGGTAATTTGGTATTCAGCTTACAATTGTTACTATTGGGATCACCGTTATTTATGACAAAAAAATAAAAATAATACTCACAGTTAACGATTTTTATAGATTTTGAAGGCAACCAATCACTAATTATATGGCTAAAAAATTGAATTAATACTCAAATTTAAGTGTTTGTATTAATTTGAAGAGGGGCAATCGCCGTAGTTAGCATCTCCCTCGCTCCACCACTGTATAGACCACACAATGATCTAAACTTAGTGCATGAAAAGAGTTGGGAATGTGAATTGTGTTGTGTGAGACCTATTTCAGGGAATTTAAGCATGAGTGGTGAGGTGTAACTGTGTAAGAATGAGAAAAGTAAGAAATATATGAGTCAAAGAATTCATAAATGTAACACTTCAAAATTTTGGATTAAAATGTCATGGATTATAGTTTTTTTCCGAATTAAGTTTTTAACACCTGACCGTGGGAATTGGTGTATATAGGGAAAAAGGGGGTTAAAGGACTTAAAGACTTGACTTGCTTTTGTGCTTGACTTATTTTTTGGTTTCCTTTGATAACGATACTTCTCTTCTTGCTTTCTTTCTTAGCTGCTGATGCTATTTTGGCCAAACGGGGCTTTCTCAAGTTAAATATGCTCATTAATTATTATTATACTTTAAATGATGAAGACGTGGCCTGTCTTCTTTGAAATTTCGAATGGTTTCAAAAAATTCTTGCGCGGACTACAATTTAAAATTTGGTAAGCAACTTCGGAACAACCTTTGTTTATAGGAATTACTTAATTAGTAACAATGTATATGTACTGTTTATGAGAATAATTTTGGTCTCTGTTCAAGATGTGTGTGCTCCGTTCCGTTCATTGACATTTAGTGTGCTGTTGCGACACTAAATGAAGCATCGATGGAGGATTAAATTAGAGCGATGTTTAATAGGTGTACTTAAATAAACATAAAAAATATTCTATGTACTTATTATTAACTATTGAGCGTGATGGGAATTAATCAGGTGGGATAAGAGTATGTATTTGAATCTCTCTAATATTATCTTTGAGAGGGGTTTAAAGTCTTAATCATGGACCCGTCCCGAATCAAATTAGTTGCGAAACAAATCAAGCATTGAACCGATTGAAATATTTCCAAAAAAAAAAAAAAAAACTATTGAGCGTGATAATTATTTCTCGATTTAAGAAGTGATACTAAAAAATGATTGAATCACATATTTTGAAGTAACTTTAAAGGTTTTTGACAAAGAGCTTAAAGCACTATTGATGTTGTTCAAAGTCTTAGTTAAGACTTGAATGTGAAAGGCTGAATTATAGACTAGATACTTGCAATTCAATACAGCTGAAATGAAAAATGCTTATTGTCAGGACTGTCATTTCGTGATTTTATTACAAAGCCTTTTGCGGGAAAATAATAATAATTTTTTAATATTTTAAATGTAAATTATTTTAAATACAAAATTACATAATTCAAATTTAAATTTACTGAATAAGTGTAAATGGATTCTGTATCAGCATGCGCAGGACGATTAAAATTGAGGAATACTAAATAGATGAATTTCACTACAAGTAATTGTGTACTTAACTATAACTTTTGAGTTTAGATGGTTTTGGTAGGATAGGTTATAGGTTATTCTGCCTATTTTTAGGACTCGTTTGGTAGACATGATAGGATAATGGTAGGATATGATATGAGATTGATAAGCCTATATCATATTCTGTGTTTGATGAGCACCTAATTAGCAATCTTATAAGATTATATAAAAGGAGAAAGAAAAAATAAATATAATGCAATAAATATAAATATATTGGATAGCGTGAGGATATATTGGGTAGCGTGGAGATATATTGGGTATCTAATATTGGTATCCTATCCTTTTGAATCCTAACCCAGCTCCCCTCATAGGATAAGAAATCATATATTAGATAGGATAAGATGAGACAATAGTATAAGCTAATCATATCCTATTGACCCACCAAACAAGAGATAAAAGTAGAATATGATAGGGTATCCTATCCTATCTTCCTTATCAGGTGCTCCAAACAGGCCCTTATTTTTTCTATCTTTGCCTACCTCTCTTAACACTGTTAGATGATAATTTCATCCAACGGTGGAGATTTGTGGAATAAAATAAACCATTTTCATCCAACGGTGGAGATTTCAGGAATAATTAAACTTTTTTTCCCTTTCTCCTTATTGCCTCCTGTTGGGAAATTCGTTCCCTCAAACTCCAATGTCAAGCGGGTCCAGGGGAAGCCCGTGGCGGGGAGCCACCACCAATGAGCTAAGGCTACACCAACCGTAGCAAGTGGATTCGACACCATGTCTCAACCCAAAACCTTAAGGCATTGGGTTAATGGGTCCTTTCACTTATATACTCTTCACTTAGCTCATTACCAACCAATGTGAGACTCATCACACTTGAATATCTCAACAATCTCCCCCTCAAGTGTGAAACCCACCATTGGTATGCTCCCCCTCAACCGAGTACCCGAAGCGCAAAGTACTCGACCCGCCTCCTAGCCAATCACTAGGCTAGCTCGAGCCCAATCCGGCTCTGATACCACTGTTGGGAAATTTGTTCCCTCAAACTCCAATGTCAAGCGGGTCCAGGGGGAGCCCGTGGCGGGGAGCCACCACCAATGAGCTAAGGCTACACCAACCGTAGCAAGTGGATTCGACACCATGTCTCAACCCAAAACCTTAAGGCATTGGGTTCATGGGTCCTTTCACTTATATACTCTTCACTTAGCTCATTACCAACTAATGTGGGACTTATCACACTTGAATATCTCAACACCTCCCACACTCTTTCTCTCTCCTCCCCTTTCTCTCAATCGATTTACTTAATTTACAACCTGAATTTATATTTGAATCTAAATCCATGCAATGATCAATGACATGATAGTTCTGATGGATGAGTATACTTTTCAAAATTCCTTGAATTTGTTAAAATTAAACACTATAGAAACCACAAAAATACCTAAAAAATGAAAACCACAAATAATCTCTTCTTTTGAATTAATCCACGATTACCGTAATGTTTTTACTTTTCAAAAACATTGTTCAACTTATTTCCTTCTTTTTATCTTATTTTTCACCTTGAAGCGAAGAAAAGATCTCTCTTCTCTCTATATTACGCCCAACAACAGGCTTACCTGATTCCATAACATAGGACGTTTGAGTTTGTTTCTTCTTGACAGCCCTTTTTAATTTTTTATGTAAATGCTCGTAATAATGACTGGGTTGGATGAATTGAGAAAAAAATTTGCATCTTTTCTTGATTCTAGAGCACCATTGAAGAGAGAGAAAGGGGGAGAGAGAAAGAATGAGAGGCAATGGGAGAGAGAAAGAAATAAAAGAATTTATTTTAGGAAAAAATGTTTGTCATTTTAAATGACATAAAGTTATGTCATTCATTTTAAGAGAGTGATAGACACAAAATAATTTTTTTATTTAAAATTAAAAAAAAACTACTCACTTTTTCTAACATGATTTTCAATTTTTGTCTCTATCTCTCTCCTAAAATGACATAAATTATGTCATTTAAAGTGACAAACATCAAATCTTTTATTTTTTATAGTAAATCTACATCATTGGATGAGATTGTAATCTAACAGTGTTGAGAGAAGTAGGCAAAATAAGGGTACGCAGAATAACCTATCTCTCGTTTGATTATTAGTACTCAATTTAACAAGTGATATTGGAACATGATGAACCACCTTAGTTTAAAGCAATTTTTCAACGTTTAAACGAAAACTCATAACTCACTTGATACCAGTAAAATCGTTAAGAATTAAAGGTGATGTTGATATTGAGAGCTTAATTTTATATTAAGGGGATATTTGTGACAAGATACATGATTTAATGACATTTTTAGAAATTTTATGAGTTGGTTGAATAAATTTAAAAACACATATTTGATTATTATTTAATATTTAAATGAATATTTTTAAAATTCAAATAATGAGAGAAAGGATAGCCTGGAAAATATGTATTCTCTGGCAAACACAATATAACATCTTCCAACAATACAGTGTTTTCACTCTAAAAAATCCAAGAATTACGTAAATAATTGGAGTTAAACGGTGGAAAATGCATTGTCTCACTTATATATATTAAGAATTTTTATAATATTTAATTATTTATTAATATAATAGGGATGGTATGGAGGCTCCAATATCATATAAATAATTATTTCAACTCAAAAATTAATAGTCTAAATAAAAACACATTTTATATTATATTTCTTTAACAAATCATCACCTTTTAGAAACCCTTTGTGCATTACGCCAAATTAAATGGTTAAATATTCACCCATTTAATTTTTTACATCAGATTTTATGAAAAACTCAAAGACCATATGCTAGTTGGGAATTTTAGGGTTGTAAATGAGTTGGCTTTGGTCTAAATAGGTTAGGTTTATACAAAATATTTCGAGTCTAACTTAGCCTATTAATATGGTGTAAGCTATATTATAGGGTATAGTTTGACCTATGTTTAAAAATTAAAAGACATGGCCTAAACCTATTGTCCTATTAAGCCTTCAATAATTATCAAAAATAAAAATAAATATATAAAATAATTTTTTATTAATTAGAATTATATAAATAATTATTTTATTTTATTTTAATTAAAATAAATAATATGATATAGACCGACATATAGACTTTTATGTCTAGCTTTGTAAAAGTAAGCCTGTGACTTATTTTTTAAATAAATTTTGTAAAATTCAAATATATTTTATTTTATTAAATATATTAGATCACATCTGACACCTAACGTAGGTCGGTGCGTTAACTCCTTCAGTCGGGATTTACTTCACAAGAAGAAAAACATAAAAAGGGGCTGAAAAAAATACCAGATATCCTTAACTTTATTTCTTAAGATATTATTTTAATTTTAACTTTAGTTTTTAAGTTTAAAAAAATAAAGTCGAACCAAATGATTCTTAATCATATTAAAAACCATAAAATTAAAATAATTCTTGATGCCTCACTTACGTAATGCATATCATTTTATTAATTAGAATTATATAAATAATTATTTTATTTTAATTAAAATAAATAATATGATATGGTCCGCACAATATATAGCCTTTTATGTTTAGCTTTGTAAAAGTAGGCCTGCGATTTATTTTCTAAATAATTTTAAAAAAAATTCAAATATATTCTATTTTATTAAATATATTAGATCACATCTAATACCCAATGTAGGTCGGTACGTTAACTCCTTCTGTCAGGATTTACTTCACAAGAAGAAAAACATAAAAAGGGGCTGAAAAAGTGAGTAACTGAAAAAGTGAGGTAGTAGAAAATTTGGGAAGTATAAATATCCTATCTCTTATTTTAATATTAACTTTAGTTTTTAAGTTAAAAAAATAAAGTCGAACCAAATGATTCTTAATCATTTTAAAAAACCCGAAAAAATAAAATAATTCTTGATGCCTCACTTACGTAATGCATATCATCGTCTTAGATACGAGTACGACGATCCAGTATTTGAGTCCTCGTTCACCAATAAAAAAATAAACAAGAAAAAAGGGCGTTAATTTATCATACAGTTTTCGTAGTCGGTGCTTCGGACAATTTAGGACCTTAAAATGCTCAATTAAGTATACAATGAAATTTCAAAGCCATAACTTCTTCTCTTATATTATCCCAAAAATTCAATCAATATTAACAATACATTTAATTTATTCCAGATTAATTGGGTTGGATAACCCAAATAAGAAGGAAAATAAATAAAAATAAAAAATTCAATAAGTCAATAGATTTTTTTTACATAGAAAAAATTGAAAGAATACATGAGAACAAAATTTGGTCAGAAAATTAATCAGAACAAAGAAAGATCAACTTGAGGTGCCTTGTTTCCAAACAACAACTTCAAGTCATTTTCCAAGGGTGTCAAGTTCAGGTCCAATTTCAGGGACATAACCCTCTTACTATTAGATCTTTTCAGAACTGGGGCTTTTGCAATAACCTGATTTATAGAAGAAAACCCTTCATTCATGGCAGCCCTATGCCTTCTCATGTGTCCTCCCAGTGCCTGACCCAAAGAGAATTCTTGACCACAAATGGAACACTCATGCATTTTGGGTTTATTCCCAAAGCTCTTAGCTTTTTCCTCTGCATCAAGTTTTGGCTTCTTGTGGCTAGTCCTGTGGCCACCAAGTGCTTGAAACGATGAGAACTTGCGGTTACAGGTCTTGCACTCAAACTCCACTGGGACATAACTTTTCTTAAGGGGCTTGTTTTCTTGGACATGAGAGAGCAGAATCAGACTATTTGCCAACTCTATGCTCTCTTTTTCTTCATTTTCTCTCTGTCTCTTGATCATGGCTACGAAGTTGAATGTGAATATGTAAAATTTATGAGGTGGGGTAGTGAGGAATTCTTGAAACTTAAACCTAGTATTTATAGATAGTTGGGGATGAAGTCAAAAAGTAGAACGTGGACACTTTTTTTTTTTTTTGTTCAAAGAAAGTCCATCTTGTTAAACGTATGATAATATGTTTGACTTTTTGACTTTTTATAATGACGTGAATAACCCTTAATGCTTGCGTAATCGATGACTGTGAATTGCAGTTTATGATTGTCTTTTTTTGGTATTTGAGCCAACAAAATTATTTATTTTTTAATCCACGTAAGGCCTTACGCATAATACTAGTTTACATTATAGCCACGTGGTTACAGCGATTTGCATGGTTATCCACCGAGTGAATGAAACATGAACACTAAGTTTTTTTTTTTTTTTTTTGGAAAGTCGTGAGCACTAAGTTAATAGGATCTAGTTGTACAACAGTTCCATGAAACTTCCAATTTTTTAGTTAGAATAATCCAATACAGTTTCTAGTATAAAATTGATGAAGAAAATTAAAAGCAACTTCTGATCAGAAGTTAGAATATTCATTTATTTAACATAATGCATGTTTTATGTCTGAGGAATTTTTTGGTCTCCATTCAACACGGACTGCTTTAAAGTGGTACCGACATGGTGTGCAACAAATGGATTTTATCAAATTGGTCGCAAAAACATGTTTTTCTTTGTGCAAATGGATTTGATGGTAAAACAGTTTGACATCAGAAAACTTGTGCTATGCTTTGCTTTCTTAAAGAAGATACTTGAACCGCTGGAATGTCTAGGCAGTGAAACCCTTTCATACGTAGTCCAAATGTGAAATGAAGCAGCAGAGTTTGAAAATAGAAGAATCCAAAAAGTACAACATCGTTTTAAATTGCGCATCGTTTTAAATCAAGCACTTGAAAATTAAAATAGAAGCAGTAGATTTTGAAAATAGAAGACTCTGATGTTCACATAGAAAATTCACTTATAAGAATCTAATTTTCACTAGAAAATTCATCTTATCTAGCTACAACTTATTCTCTTGGGGAAAGGAAAACGAAGCTACACATTACCTAAATATCATTGGTTCTGGTTGAGCAAATTGCATCATCATTTTTACATCAAACTAGGGAGTGGTGCTCATCAGGTGATGAGCTTCCCTCATATAGAAAACTAGCTAGGACTTTCATCCAACTACCCCCCCCAAACTGTGTAAGCATGGGTTATGGGTTATGGGTTATGGGTTTTGGTGTGTAGTTCCATACTACAACTACCTGCCTAATCAAAGTCAATTCACATCTGCAAAAGGAGTTCGATTTGGAGATGCTGCTAGACGAGGGATTTTGCTTTCTGCTTGGATCCATTTTGATCGGTTCTCTGTGCAACTGTCTTCTATGATCTGTGTCCTCATCTCTTCAATGGATGCAGGGCTGGGGACTGATACAATTTTTTTCTGAGATGTTGAACTTGTATTCTGGTCAACCTTTTCATAAAGAACATAAGTAAGCTTTAAAACTTGAGGCTAACACAAGATAATAAAATAAAAAAGACATGCAAAAATGAAAAAGTTAGGATTCTTTGTGTCTTATTACTATGTGGTTGTTTAACAATCTATAAAAAAAAAATCCAATTTTTGTTTTTCATTAATCGGAAGGTGTATTTTATCCAAAAACTCAGCAAAGTAGAGGAGATTCCATATACCATGTAATCTTTAGCAAGGCACTTTTCTGCTTGTACATGGATATTTGATATACTTTCACCATGCTTATCTTGTACTGAGTTAAGCTGCTCCAACCACCTTGTAGTCATAGAATCAATTTCCTTCTTGTGCTCATGGTCCATCATCCGTGCACCTGGACGTATTATAAGTATGTTTAACCCATTTCAATCAAGAGACTGAGAGACCAAAGAAAATAATAAAATAGAAAATACAGACTACAAATGCAAGAACTTTAACTTACCATTTACATCTGCGAGCAGGTTGTGGATTCCGGAATCATAATCCGAATCCATTGCTAATGATGCAGATACAAATTCTCGATTCAGAGCATGATTTGTCAAGATATTTTCCCTGTTAAGCATCAATAAAAGTTAAAAACGTCAGAATTTACTTCTCTGTAGATTCTATCTCATTAAGAAAAACTCTTTATCTATGACACTGACTAGCAGAACTTACTTCACTGTAGATTCTATCTCCGCAAGACTGCTCTTATGGAGATTGTTGAAGGACAAGTGAGCGCTTTCCCACTGCTGCCTGGAACAGTCCACATTCTTTGAGCTGCATAGCATGTAGAAAGATATAAGTAAAGAAATATAACTCTTTTTCTATAATATTACATATTCATCCATCCCTAACAAAAAGTGCTTGTGCATGCATATTTGGCTATTTTTAACAAAGTCATTCAAAAGGCTGAGAACACAAGAAGTTGAAAATATTTGGCTATTTTTAACAAAGTCATTCAAATGAAGATTTAATGTAAAAAATCTTATGGACGGCACTGATTAAATATTTTTGTAATTAAATGGCATATAAAAACACTTTCTGTCTCTTCACTATCCCCTCTAACTATGCACGCACTGATACAGACACAGAAAGCAACAAAGAGAGAGAAAGATTAAGAAGAAAGAACATAACGGAACAAACGGAAGACTCACCACACCAAGAGGCAATTTTCCATTGTAGCTTTAATACCACTTGCTGAGAATATTTGTTCCACAAAATGACTTTTAGCATTCTCTACATATTCACTCACTTCCTTACTAGCATCTTTTGAAACCTGCTGCATGTTGAGCATCTCTAGTTGCAATCTCTTAGACTGTTGCTTACTCATGTCCTGCATATTTCTTGATGCCTCTGAGACCTAATACAAGTTTATCAGAAGTCAGTGATACTTCAATTAATACAATATGAATAGCATACAACACCAACAAGGAAATTAAATGGAAAAGAACAATGCAGTCAATTAACCATAGCAGTTCTCTTAGATGTCAAGGCTGCCAAAATTGCTGCGATTTTCTCTAAGGCCTGCCCCTCCTCCATCGCTACCTCTTCCTGTTTCAGATTAGAAAAAGAAAATCAATCATGAGTGACTTAAGAGATCAGGGTCCAAGTACCTCAATATTTGCTCACCTTAAACTTCTTCTCAAAATTAGCTAATTGTTGGAACCTCTCATTTTGAGTTTCTTCAATAATTTTCATGACTGTTGAAGAACGCAGATGAATGTCACTAAAGAAGTTTACAGTTGCCTCTGAAACCACTTGTGCTGAAGTCAGACTTTGCTGTAATCCCTACATTGATCCATGAAGTTTATATTACATGATTAAACTACTGCTCTAATTTATTTATTTTTATGAAAAAACAAAACAAACCGAAACAAAGAAAAGATAAAAACGTACTTCCTCTTGTTGTTGAATGGAGAATGCTAACAGCTGCTTGTGCTCATCAAGAGAATTCTGGATGTCGCATATCACATCCTTGGCTTCAAGAACGGCAGCGGCAAGAAACTATAAGGAGGCACAGCATAACCAGCTTGAGATAGGAGCAAAGTAACAACTTTTTTTAAAAAAAAAAAACTTCTTGTGTTCTCAGATATAATCAACTTGAGAAAGGAGAACAGATGTAACCATTTTTTTTTTTTCATTTCTATTATTCTCAGCCAATGCCTATGATGAAATTAAAAAAGAAAAACCAATATTTCTTGACTTCTTACATTCTCAACAGCCAATGTCTGTGATGAAACTTTAGATTGTATGTGCTCCATATCAGATGAAGCTTTCATATGCAATGTATTAGCTAACTCCTTCAGGGTCCCTACTCCTGAAGTATAAATCTCTGTCATTTTCTTGATCCTATATTCAAGTGCTTGTGCTGCCTGAAGAAAGATTATCATAAATCAAATGATGAGTGGAGAACATGCCAACCATAAACTGTAACTGAAACAAGAATTCTTCATTACTCTTACATCACTTTTACTGGCAAGATAGGAGCAGGCACGATCTTCCATGCATCTAAGTCGTTTCTGTTGTTGAGAAATGGATCCCACAATGGTCTTATGCAAGTCTTTTAAGCTCTCATTAAGCAGAGACCCAAAATTAAAGATTATTTTTTGATTTTCTGCCTCCATCGTTTCTTTGTAATCTGCAAGAATATAAAGCCTCAGAGAAGAACAACAAATCATTTAGGATGAGCAATGTCCAACACATCACTTTCTTTCACCTACTTTCCTGTTGAAATCTTGCAATAATAGTTGGAACTTGGAAAGTATGATTCCTGCCAAAACTTTTTAGTTTCTATTGAAAGTTATTTACAAAAACATCTCCGGTTTCTAACTACAAATAACACTTGATGAGATTTGCTCAAATTCATCTTCACATCCCATGAAGCAGATTTCTTATGAAAGCATTTTAAAATCTGGAATAAAAAACTTACGGTCGCAAAATGAATGAGTAAAATAATCATACCTAATTTTGAAGACAGTAAATTAATATGATCTGATGCACTCTGCAGATCAGTACACATTTCCTTTGCACGCTCAATCAAGGCATTTTCTGTAAACACAAAATAAAGCGAACCATATAAGTGAATTGAACAGAAACAGCATAAGTCTACCAGCATACCATCAATTGATTCACCTGATTTCAGTAGCTTGGATATGGTGCTTTCCTTCTCTTTCAACATTGAAACTACTAGCCTGTAATTCTCTTGAAGGTCATGCAAGACGTTGCTGGTTTTTTCCAAATTCACCTAAAAGATTAATTTTATTTGAGATAATATTCTTTTTGAAGGTTAAATAATGGAGAAAAAAGTTCCATTCTATTAACCTTGCAATCCTTGAGCTCGCTTTCCAAATCCAGTTTCTGTTCTTGCTCTGTTAAATAGAGCTCACGGAAACTGTTCACTTGCTGCAAAATAAATGGGAAGAAATTAATTTATCAATGAAGTTCCCATACAGAATAGGAGAAATGCCAACCAAAGACTCGGGAAATACTTTCTCACTAAGATTGAGGTCATTCTCTAATTGCTCTATCTTCTCATTCCTTGCCTGAATGAAAAGGTTATGAGACAAAATTAGACCAAGAAAGATAGAACATGCATTTAAATATGGAGCTTTCAGTCAGAAACTTTAGTATAGACATGCTTAATCTCAACGGGAAAAGGTATAAGCAAACTCAATGAGATTGCCCGATTATCAGCATAATTTATTTAAAAAATATTAAACCAAGGTTTTGCTCTCCCCAAATGATGTCGAAAGATCCTTCGCAAATTTCATATTAGTAGTATTGTTAAATTACATAGATACGAGGAAATTGAAAATAAATATATGACCTTCTTTTCAGCTTCTTCCATGGCAAATCTTTCATGAGAAATATATACACCATTCTTTTCCCTTGCTGCTCGAACATCTGCATTCAATATTCACATAGATAAAGATTTGATACAAGATCTTCTCTACATTCCAAAACTTAAGAAAATAATGGTGAATGTACCTTCCTTCATTCTCTCGATTTCCATGTACAAGTCCTTCAACAAAACAGCCTTTGAAACTTTTTGGTTTGCCTATTAGAAGAACACAAGCTTTTGTCACCACAAACATAAAACTTCTTTTAGAAAATTTGTAAGGAGCAATAGCAGCAGTAACGGACCTCAGGCCTATTCTTTATGTTTTTTGCACGACTAGCGTAGTCTAGCGTACTTAGTGTTTCTTCCAAACAATAAGCAGATGGGGAAATAGTAGCAATTATGCATGTTTTTGTTTTCCCTCCTAAGGAGTCTCGCAAAATCCTTGTAAGCTTACTGTCTCTGAAACAACAGACAACCAAGTGGCATGCATATTAAGGTACATGTCTTTCAAATTATAAAGAGACGATGATTATTGAACATGATGTTAACATAAACCTGTAAGGCACATGAGCAGAATGTTCCACAAGCGCATTTATGACACGTCCCAGTGTGAGTAAGCTCTTGTTTATCTCCCCCGCTTCTCTTGCACGGCCCTGTAATATTATTACTCAGCATAACTATATTTTGATTGTTAATGCATGCATAATATTAAAACATTGTTGCAAACTTAATGCAAGTCCAAGATAGACCCACGTAGTCTTCTTATAACAATCCAGGAAAAATTAAAGACAGAGGACCATGATTTAGGACCCTATGCTATAATGTTTTAATGATGACAATTGATGAAATTAATTAAAGAGTAAACACCCTTTTTGGTCCCTGACAATATCTACGAAATCTTTTTTAGTCCCTGGCAATAAAAAAGGACCAAATTGGTCCCTAACAGTATGTAAAAAGGGCCACGTTAGTGACGGAGGAGTTGACATAAGGACTAACATGGCCCTTTTTTCATAATTTTAGGGACCAATTTGGTCCTTTTTTATTGTCAGGGACTAAAAATGATTTCGTAGATATTGCCAGGGACCAAAAAGGGTGTTTACTCTTAATTAAATGTTGACAATTTTATTGTTGTGATCTTTATTTGTGCAATTTCTGTTTAATTATTAAAAATCAAAAAAATATTTTAAATTAAAAATTCTAAAAGAGATACAGTTACTCAATTCAACTCCTTTCTTGAGTACCAGTGGGACTAACACATGAAAAATCAGAAGAAAAACAAGTTGTAGCTGGAAACTATAATTAACACCGCAAACTTCACAACTATAACAAAGGTGACCTATATTATGTCTCTTTCTACCAAGTACCACAATCAGATTGCTCTGAATTAATCTCAGTTGTAATCATTGAAGGTTAAAGAAATTAGTTGCACCAAATGATGGAGCTCAGTTGGCGCCGAGGAATTGAGCAGGGGGGGTGAGAACATGTGTTGGATCCTCCCCAATACCATCTTTGGGAGGGGTTTAAAACCTTAATCTTAGGACCCGTCCCGAATTGGACTAGTCGCGAAGCGATGAACTGATTGGAATATCTCTAAAAAAAAAATTAGTTGCACATTCAGTTTAACATGATATATCTATTTTGCTATTTAATTACAGTGCAAATTATTTTTCTAGCCAAATGACAATTACCATGCACAATTAATGGCCAAAAATAGAGACAAGTGGAAGTCTTTCTTTTACCTCACGTGCTCCTGAACGCAATATATTTTCTGATCCTGCCAAATCAACAAGATTAAGCTTGCCACATTTAATTAACTCCTCATCACCAATTACTGTTTCTTTCACATAGACAGTAATGGTGAAGACTGAATGTGAACGGCTGCACCAAAATAACGTTCATTATGTAAAACACAGCTTCTACTAAAATAAATTTCTACAACTTCAGTAAAAGGAAACCTACCTGCTTCTCTTATTAAGCAATGTATCTGCAGTGCGCCTTTTTGATGCTCCTCGTTCCAACAGATTATAAATTTCACTTACACTGTACACTGATTCTTCTTCAAGGCCTCTCACAACCACACAACCCTTTCCATCTTCCATAAGGGTTACAGGTTTCTTCTGTTTTTCTTCTATAAGCCTATAATTATCTTCAGGGGACAATAAATCAGTTACTTCTTCATTATATAGCTCAAGAAATGTGACTTTTATGCTATAGTCAGCATTTTGTGCCTCCAAAATATCAAAAATTTGACGAACTGCTCTTGGAATGACACCAGCCTCGGCAGGTAAATCACCACCCTGTACATTATTCATGGCATTTGACATAATTTTTGTGATCAGAAAATACAGGCTGCAATAATAAATGGAAGAAAAAATGTGGGTTTAATGACAAAATGTTACCTTTTTTCTCATCCCACCCTCCATTGTATAAGTTTTACCAGTCCCAGTCTGGCCATAAGCGAAGACAGTGCAGTTGAAACCATCAAGAACTTCATTAACAATTGGGGCAATCGCTTGGTCATATATTGATCTTTGCTGTGATTTAGGTCCAAAAACCTTCCCAAAAGGATTTTAAAAAATGTTAACTATACATTACATGATATTATTACTTACAATAACAAATGATCAAAGTAATGTAACCTTAAAAAGGGGTAGAAGTAGAAGTAAGCATACCTTGTCGAAGGTGAAAACTCTATCAACTTGCTTGTTAGCCACAGTCTGCATAACAGTGACTTCCCTTTTATTTTCATTACATGACACCACCTTGGGAACATTGGACCTTTGTTCATCATCACTTAATGGCCTGATATGTATAAAAAAAATGATTAAAGTTTTAATTAAGATGGATTCATGTCATTTTATTTTAAAGATGTCCAGGAATAGCTAACAATTCATGTGCTATAAGTCTCCCATTCGAGACGTATAGCACATAGGTGGAAAAGCTCTCCCTACCAAGCTTTAACACAGCTAAGTTCCTAGAGACTCGAACTCAACAATCTTCAAATTTCACATATCCAAATTTGTAATTCAACACACAAAGCTCAAAATTTTAGATTAGAAAAATAAAACTTAAGCTCGTTAGCTCCAATTCTACACATAACACACAGGACAAAAATTCACTTGTTAGCTGTTATACATAGCATAGCACTATAGCTAATGCATGAAGTGAAATTCAAAGCGAAGAAGAAGAAGAAGAAGAAGAAAAATTGACCTGCATCGAAGCAAAACTTGGACGTTAGTCTCTTTATCCTTGTCTTGACGGTTTGAGTTCCAATCGGAACCTCTTGAATCGGGACGACGTCGTTCCGGGCGAGGTGTCAGAAACGGAGACGGAGATGCTGTCATCCCCAATCCAACTTTCTTAGTCTGATCCGGCGTCGCTGACGTCATTTTCTACCTTTGAATCCTCTGCAAACATCAAATGAACACCCAAAAAAAAAAAAAATCCCTAATTAGCGTATGACTATGAAAAACAAAAGCAAAACCTCGTATTATAAAAATAAAAATAAATAATAATAATAAAAACAGAGACGAGTTTTCTGGGAAATTAAGGTGGACATACTTGATCGGAGAATCTGAGAAAAGAGTGGTCGAAAAAGAGGTTCTGGTTTTTTTTTTTTTTCTGCTTTTTCAATGATTTCAATTTTCCTCACTGTGGTCTTTTACTCTGTTTCTGGAGAGTATTTGAAAATCGGGGGGAGAGAGAGAGAGTACAGGGAAATGAAGTGTTGCTTGCTTTTACCCAACGGTTACTTGAGACTATATGTGGGCCCGGATAGCCGTTATGAGATCTCCATTGTCCAGCGCCACGGACACAATATTCAAACTTAGCTTTTTTATTTCCATTTAATTCTGAAACAAAGTTTGAATTTTAAACTATGTTACCAGATGGCATTATATGGAAAAAATTGTTCTGTCATCACATAACACCAGTTGCAGTTGACCTCCTAAGGGATTGTTTGGTGTAGGGATCAAACCATGTCTCAAGCAGTTTCTTGGAAAATCTTTGGGGCCAGAGGATAAGCCAAAAAAATCTTCGGTTGGGGGATTAGTCTCGTCCTTTCTCCGGTTGCGAAGCTTAGTGCACCCACTGTTATAATGAGGGGCTAGCCCAAACGAGCCGTACCCCGAGGGCATGGTGCCCGGAGAAGGTTGAATGGGGATACACAATGTACCAAAAAAAAAATAATATGTAACACTGGAATATCATAATTATATATAGAGTTTGATATTTCTGATGTTATAGAAGATAAAATTATTTTCTATTATTTCCTACACACATAAAAATATATGTAAAGAAAAGAGAAAAAAAATCTAATACAATTTTATGTATTTATAAAAGATAATTTTATTTCTTATAACATAAGATAAATTAAACCCTTATGTATATGTTGAATTGAATGTAAAATATCGTGGAATAAAATTTAAATTAAAATATCAAAAATTGAAAATATTTGAACTTTAAAATTTTGTCGATATTGGATTGTACAGCTGTAGAAGAATGTAAGTTTGAAAAATCGAAATATGAAAAATATTATTTAAATTTAAAGGATTTATATCCATAATGTTACATGAACCAAAAATTTTTATGTTAAAAAAGACAACATCAATTCATTGGATAAAGTTTCATTTCACCATTAGAGTAGGATTACAGAGATAATCTCTCCAGTATATAAAACTAAAGGTATGCTTAAAAATACTCTACCCACTTTGGATGACTTATGTTCTGTATGAACATTAAAGGGTTAATCTTATGAGTAATCTATCTCTTATTCACCTGTATAGGATCCTTATATATGTTCTTATTAACGGTTATAATCGTAGTGAGTAGTTAATAGTGGTGCCATTAGTAAGATCATGGTAGGGTCCACGTGTGACACTAAAGTGTGGGCTAGGGCCATATTCCGGGCTACTACTATGGATTTCGCGTATACGTATTAGTGCCAAGTCGGTTGACCTTATTCGGGCATAGGCCTTAGTTTTGTGACCTCTTCTAATTATGGGACTCAGCTATGCTTGACTAAGCCTATGTTACGATCCCAGAATATTAAGCCCCCCAGCTCGGAGTATTATACTTAAAATACTCCGAGTTTACGATATGGGTTGGTATTATCATATAAACTCGGGTCAAATGAGCAGTACTATCATTAAATGCTACCTACCCCTATTCTCTACATCTGCCACATGTCCTCTTCTGACTGATCTTGATTTTCTCAAACGAGCGATATGACGTCTTTCAATCATTTCATTTCGAAATTCAAAATAGCAGCTTAGTTTTTACGTTTCCTCTTTTAACCCTTTCGGTTCCCTTTCTTCCTTCCACTTACTTTCTTCTCATTTTCTCTTCTAGTATCTGCTCTTTCTCCCTCCACAGCATTTGGCTTTTTCTCTTTCTGCTTCAACTACATCTTCTTCGTTTTCTTGCTGACGCATCCTCAAGCCTTGATTTCTCCTTCGACAACGCTTCCTCAAGCCTTGATTTCTCCTTCTCCATTATCATTGGACACTATACCAAGTAAGTTCTCGCCTTTTATACTTGTTCTTTTTATTCTTTATTTAGGAAACTTGCTATTTATTTGCGTTCTTAATAATTCCTCTTTGCTTTTCCTGTATTTTCAATATAATGCACCTACCTTTAAGAATGTCCTTCACTTAAAGGACGTTTCAGATCAGTTAAAGACCTCATCTTTACCAGAAAAATATGCACCTTGTTATAAGAACTTTATCCTCTGTAGAGTCCATGTATTTCCTTTGCTGGGTTCAGGACGAATTAGAATATCCTTACGTCCTCAACCATATTCCGATAACATATTGTCTATTACTTCCGTTTCGGAGTTAGAGTCTAACAGTGTTTTTCCTTCCAGGCACATACTGAGGAACTGCCCTTACCATTCGCTTCCCGTTTCTCGCTTTGCTCTTCCTCCCAGCTTGACGGGTTTATAATGGGTTGACGAAGAAGCATTAAGACTTCATTCAACTTACGAAAACAATCTGATTTCTTTGCAGACGACATTGCAGTCGGTACCTCTCTATTACGACTCAATAATCACTTCTTTCTGAGTTGAAGTTTCTGGCGAGAATGAAAGGATCTGTTCACCTTCCGGGCAAGGTGATGACATTTTTTTCTTTGTATACAAATGCTTATTTTCGAAACTTAAGATCCTATTACCTTTTACCGACTTCCAAACAGAAGTCTTGTGTCATCTAGATGTTGCCCCTTATCAACTTCATCCTAACAGTTGGTATTTCTTAAGAACTTTTGAAATAATCTGTCAGGCTTATGGTTTTACTTACTATTCCCAGGTTTTTTTTTTGTATTTTTGTCGTGTTCCAAAACACTATTGAGAAATGAAGGACATGTTACAATTGGGTTTCTTTCAAAGCTCACCCTGGACTTAGGTGGTGTACTATATTTGAAGATAATTGGAAAATTTTAAGGAAAATCACTTCAAAATTTGTACTCCTGAAGCTCTCCCTTCTACACCATCTACTTCTTCTTCCCAACCTACAACACCTTCAGCCTTCTTCTTAGATCAAGACAGACTTCCTCGGTTCCCATTATCTTGGAACCGTGCTTATTACACCCCTTCTGCAAAAGAGTTCTTAACTAACCCCAAGAATTTGTTTGATGATGAGTCTGAAACTTATATGTGGTTTAAAGATTTAGCTTGTCAATTAACAAAGGAAAATGTCTCTATTGCTCCCCGCTCCATTTTAGAAAATGGAGATTCCTCGGAATGGGTTCGAAGAAAACTTAGTAAGTAAATATTAACACTTTTTCTAGTACTTTATCATATATTTATTGTCTAACTTTCTTCTATTTTTCAAATAAAATCATGGATCCAAAGTTCTTTGCTCGGATGAAGAAGAAATCTAACCTAAAAGGAACACTAAGCTAAACTTCTTTTGTCTCTGGAGAGAAGGATTCTCCTTCTATTACTCCTTCTGCCATTCTGGCTACGTCCGCTATGGGTTCAGCTCCTGGAGATACAATTTAGTGGATGTAGACACCCCAGTTGATTCTGGCAATCTCCGTCAAAAGAAAATGTGTCCGAGTAGATGACCCTGGCAAAGATATTATTGTTACTGACAGATCTTTTACCCCACCGACCTTCGTCGTCTCTTCTCAATCGCAAGGTCTTAATTTTGTTGAAAAAATAAAACCTTACTTTACTACAGGTCTTCGAGAAAAATGGGATAAATTTTCTCTGGATCAACTCATCTCTAAGTTTACTGCTCTTCGGGATAATGATATCTGATAAGCTCATTTTTTTTGAAATGGCTCTCCTAGCCCTTGCTGAGCGTCATCAACTTCTATCCGACCCTCAGGATCTTCAAAACTTCAAAAACAATTTCAACACTGAAAAAGAAACTCTCAAAAAGCGAGCTGAGTCTACCAAATTCATTGGTCATGGTTTTCAAACACAACTCAAGGAAGCCCAAACTGCCAAAGCAACCGCGGAGGATACCGTCAAATCAGCTACTGACAAATTAAAGTTTTTGAGCATAACTATTCTGAGTTGAAAAAAGAACATGATCAGTTCAAGAAAATTTTCGAAGACTCATATCTCCGAGTAGCTGAATTGGAAATGGAGGTTGATACTTTAAAAAATAAGGTATCTGACCTAGAGAAAGCCGCCATTGAGATGGATAGAAAATTTGAAGCTTATGGTCATCAAATTCGTGGTTGGGTATTAGACCAAGTGGGCTACTTCATCCCGGAAGTTACCCTTCATAACTTGCACAAAATTGAAACTTTTAACTTTGTTAAGGATGGCCATTTGTGTACACACGGCGAAGAAGGTCAAATAATTGTTCTTGCAACCTGTCCCACTAAATTCGCCATTGTTAACCCGGATTCCACCAATTCTACTAACTCTGGAGATGCCTAGTCTTCGAAAAGTTTGAAGGGGTGGTATGCCACCTTTATTTGTACTCTTTTTTGGGCCAAAAATGTCATCTTGCAGTCGATGTATTAACAATATTTTTGTTGTTAACTATTTCCTTTTACTCGTTTCGTAATATCACTTGGATAAATATTTCATAACCTTCATACCGCCTTCCTTTTTCATATTCTCTATTCGTAATCATGTGCCCGCTTTCGAGTAGTAATTGAACGGGTGCCCAAGAGTCCATATTTTGGCATCAAGGGACTTTTATTTGCTCGCTTCCGAGTAGGAATTGAACGGGTGCTCAAGAGTCCATAATTTAGCGTCAAGGGACTTCTATTTGTCCGCTACCGAGTAGAACTTGAACGGGTTCCCAATAGTCCATATTTTAGGGTCAAGGGACTTTTATTTGCTCGTTTCTGCTTGAAAACGCTCATAATAGTCCCTTAACTTCTCTCCCGATTTTTGCCTTACTCCACATAAGTTATGAGTGGTTTTCGG